AATGGGACACGGACGGTGGACTTAGTGGTCGTCGATTCAGCATGCGGGCAGAGGTCAGTGAGCCAACGTAGAGGTGCCAGGGATTGAAGTTGCAGTTCGCTGTGTCACGGGGAGGGGGTGGCGAAATAATGCGATTCTACAGTCCGGCGGCCTTCTGTCTTCATCATATTATTTCGGAATGCACACTACCTCATCTATTCGACATATATATATATATATACTACATACCGACTGGCGGTGGGCACGCTCCCTCTGAAATAACCATTGTCTTCTCGAAGAAATTAAGTAAAATAATATTTTTCAGATTGAGTTATGAATGACGTGAAGGAGGTGATAAATAAGTTGCTTCAGACATACAGAAAAGTATGCGTGTTTCGGACAATTCCTAACCAACCACGGAGTTGTGGGGCAGGCGTCCAAGGTAATTAGATTCATTGCCCTCCCAGAGGAAATTAATGGTTGCGGAGCGGAGGATAAGAGAGCTCATTTGTTTCGTGCGTCAAGGAAAGTTCCTCGGCTCGTGACGTCAAACCTCCTTCTCCTCCTCCTCCTCCTCCTCCTCCTCCTCCTCCTCCTTCTCTAGTGGCAGTAAATGGAATGGGCCAAGTCATTGTTAGGAAAAAGGTTACCGTCTATAGGACGGTCATAAATCACCTTGACAGTGTGCATCCGTCGCCCTTTTTGCCTTAAGCAGTCTGTCTGTGCAGTGTGCATACCACTTAGCGTTCCTAGGGCCGACTGAATAACAGAAGAATTTGCATTCGGAGGGGGGAGCGGAGGGCTTTCATAGGTTGGATTTCGAGGAAGCATTATTGGCAAGGACTTGGAAGACCGAGGTGATCATTTCTGGCAGAGGCAAACATCAGTATTCTGTGCTGAAATCAGGTGTGAGAGCAGTGAATATTATTTTAACATTTAACAGTCGTAAAGGCAGGAAGTTTCAGTTCAGGTGGCAGAGCATGTGGACCAATGACCAGTTGACCACGGGTTCCAACTCTGGGTGTCCCCGGCCGAAAGCTGTGGTACGGCGGATCGATGACAGTAAATAAGCCAGGAATTGCCACTTCAGTCATGGTTATTTGCAGAGTTATATTTCCCAGTTTTTGATCGCTCGCAACTGTAAGACAGCCCTCAAGGTCTTTACGCCGGAGTAGAGACCTTGTATGTGCTACTGGGTGAACAGATGAGCCGGCCTCCGACCAGGCCAACGGAAAAGGCATTTTGACTGGTCCAATGACCACCGTAGGCTTCAGGTGCGAAACCTGGTTGGTTCCATATGATCTTGACTCCCTGAACTTGCATTTTCTCGTCTAAGCATTCTCCCTCCCCGCATTACCAACTGTATTTCCAAATGAAGTATCCACCAAACAGACCTCCCTCCGATTAAATCTTTCCCTTTGTCAGGGTGCGTCTGTGTTTCTCAGTGCTATTTTCACACGATGGCAGTCTTAACCATCGCGTCTTCGCCTCGCCCTGACGACGTGGCCAAAGGTACCTCAGCCTCAATGACGTCCCCTACCAGCATCTTCGGCGTCATCTGGGAATTGGCTTGTCGTGTTATGATCCTGAATCTTTGCGAAGTCGATAGTCCTCCTTCCTCCCCCAAGGGGGTGTCCTGACCCAGAGGTGGTACGGGGACGGCACCCACCGATTGGTACCGTAGGTGGGCTAATTCACGAAATGTCAACCGAAATTCCGAAATGCCTTTTCGTTTCGCAAAGATTAATTAAGTAGGGTTGTAAAACTAACCATCGTGCAACATAGTTTTATCATAATTCAGTTACCCTAGGATGCCGGTTGTCGAACCAACTTCTCTTCGGCTGCATGTCAAAACTATACTATGTAAAAAATGGCCATATAAGTAGCATGCACTTTTCTCAGTGATTTTTATGCCCTCAAAAGTGCAATTATATTTCCTGAAAAGCATACATAAAAATATTTATTCTCTTGCTTATTCGGTAGAAAATTACGTCTTCTTCCAATTTTATGCTGGACGGAAGGGTATAATTCGGTTTTAGAAAGTTCCTAATTATGAGATTGTTCAAGACCATGAAATGCCCGTCTGTAAAAAATCACGTCTCTGCATTTACCAATGTGGATTGTAAATTTAATAATATGGCTCAAATACACTGCCAAATTGTATGAACCCCATATAGTCTCCTTTTAATGCCGTGGATAAATGTATGGTTTTCCGTACGCGGAAAATATACGGCTTGTAGTTTGGAAACCCTGAATGAAAGCATTACGGAGAGTCGGGTTCAAAATTATTCGGGAATTGGAAAAGTTTTTGAAACCGAGTTATATCCTTCTTTCGAGTATAAAATTGAAAGAAGACTAATTTTCTACCGAATGAGGAACAGAATGAATATTTATATGCATGTTTTCCAGGGAATATAATTGCACTTTTAAAGACATCGGAAATCAATAAGAAAAATGTATGCTACTTAAATACTCATTTTTCAGAGCATAGTTTTGATATGCAGCCGGAAAGAAGTTGGTTCGACAACCGGCATCCTAGGGTAACTGAATTATGATAAAACTATGTTGCACGATGGTTAGTTTTACAACCCTATATAATTAATCTTGGCGAAAGAAAAACGCATTTCGGAATTTCGGTTGACATTTCGCGAGTTAGCCCACCTACTGTTGATGCAACCCAAGCCCGCCTCTTAATGCCTACAACACGATGTGCGAACACCTCTGACCGGGACTCCGACACCTTTAAAGACGAGAGCGTGACGAGGTTTGGAGGCGGGAGTTGGTTATCAGTGAAGCTCCTTTAATTACGCCAATATGTTCTTCGAAGTGAGTCCGTGGCCATTTATTAGTTATGCCGAGGCAGTTACTTCGTTTACGACTGAAATACATGCAGGATAACCGCAAAACTTGACACTTTGCTACTTGGACAGCGGCCGTGATCGCGATCTGCAGGGGTAGTAGTGACCTAGGGTCCGACTTCTATTCATAACCGACGTGTGGAATGGCTCGTAAAACTAAGGCTCCACGGCCATCCTGGTTGCGTACTTCTGATCGTTCAAACTGAGGTTCTCCGGGCACCTGTTTGCCAACTAAGAACTCAGGATGCTCTAATCAGCCGTGTTAGTTTGTTTATTCGGACAAAGTGTGTCCCTAAAATGGGCCACACGATTGATGCTCTGGACCATCATGGGGGCTAGATCGGAGTCTTCAGGCGTTAGGGTGAATGCGCAGCCAAAACAAAATGCCAACATTGGGGGCGTGATTGTACGCCCAATGGGAGGCTCGCGCCAGTGTCCGTTGTGGACCAGGGGGTGTGGTGATACGCCTAGGTGCTGGTATTCGCTGTGCCACTCACCTCAGCCCTCTCTCACCTCCGGTCTTCTTGACTCTGTCTTAGTGCGGGGCCCAGGAAGTAGTGCGGTAGATGCGGCGCAAGTCTACTGCCATTGTAAACTAACTCACGAGCAAGTCACCGCTCCTGCTCTCACTCTGTTGCCGGCAGCGGCAACCAAACTGTCATTCAGACAAAGGATAAACTACTTTCGGGATCCATCGGCGCGATAGAACAGGCGACGTCGTTGTTTGTGACCCAACCTAAGTCGGACAGGTCTGTGACACAGCGTTGGTCATGATAGCACGCTGGGCTTGACTCAGATTTGGAACTACAGTGCGTGAGCGATCACATGAAATGTTGGCCGAAATTCTTAAATGTATTTTCGATTAGGAGGGATTACTTAAGTGAGTTTGTAGTATTGATTAGCATGTGGCATAATCCTTTGACATTTCGGAATTGCCTGGATGTCGGCTTTTGGATGCACTCCTTGCTAACCTTCTGCAGCAACCGCGATCTGCAAAAGATGACTACTTAAGTAGCATGCATTTGTCGTATTGATTTTCGATGGCCTTACAAATTCAAATATATTTTATAGAAAACGTGCACAAAATATGCCTTCTTTTACTCTATCGGTAGAAAATCACACTGTCTTTATATTTTATACCTGAAGAAAGTGTATATTTAGGTTTTAAAAAAGTTTCTAATTATTGGATTTTCAAGACCGTGCGATGTCCATATATACAACATCCTGCATGTCCGTTTACCGAGGTTTCGCATGAAATGTACAACACAAAAATTTCAAAATTGCAAAATTTTGTAAAGTCTTTATGGTATCATCTCAAAGGCAAAGAAGAATATATGATTTTCCTTAAGCGGAAAGCATGCACCTTATAAACTGAAATCGCTAAACGCTAATGCTATGGCTCAAAATTATTTGGGAATTAGTAAACTTTTTTAAACCCTAAATATACACTTTCTTCAGGTATAAAATATAAAGACAGTGTGATTTTCTACCGAAAGAGTAAAATAAGGCATGTTTTGTGCACGTTTTCTATAAAATATATTTGAATTTGTAAGGCCATCGAAAATCAATACGACAAATGCATGCTACTTAAGTAGTCATCTTTTGCAGATCGTGGTTGCTGCTGAAGGTCAGCAAGGAGTGAATCCAAAAGCCGACATCCTGGCAACTCCGAAATGTCAAAGGATGATGCTACATGCTAATCAATACTACAACCTCACTTAAGTAATCCCTCCTAATCGAAAATACATTTAAGAATTTCGGCCAACATTTCATGAGATCGGTCATGCACTGTAGTGTATAATGGAAGAAGGTGGAACAGAGAGTAAGATTGACCCTTTGCGTAATTTTCTCCCTCTTTTCAACTATCAAGACGTGTTTGAAGTCCTGCCTTGGAGGATTGCCAATTGACTGGATACCCCGGTGTCCCTCAGACTGAAGGCCGGGCTACAAGGAGTCCTTAGCGAGACCCGTCTTGCAGTGAACATTTCCGAAAGCTGTATTGGAACGGGCCCGTTTAATGTGGCTCGGGGCACTAGCATGCGAGTGGACTGTGTAGACGAGAACTAGTTGCCAGTTCCTTCGCCGTGCCCAGGCTTGTACGCTGTCGTCTTGACCTTGTTGCATCATCGGGGAGAAGGGGAGGGGAGACGGAAAGTGAGACGGATGCTGCGAAAGTCCACCTCACTACAATCGGACCTACGGGCCAATCACTTCTGTTCCCTCAGTGGTCTTCGCAGTCTGCGACAGACCTCCCTCGGATATCACGCCGAACAGGTTGAACGAGTTCTGAGACACTTATGCAAGACTCTAGGAGAAGACGCCAGGTGGCTCAACGTGTCCTGAACGGCAAGTCTATCTGCCAAAAGTCGCCAGCTATGGTTGGTCGTCTGTTTGCCTAAATTTGTGGAGCAGCCATGAGAAGGTCATTTTCCAGTCTCCTGTTGAGAAATCTGCGGACGCACGAACAGTGAGACCTGGGTTCTGACCCTCATTGTGTGCACTCTCCGTCAAACAAAACACGCATGACGAGACGTCCGGCATGAAATGAATGACATTGTCCTAAGACGGTCCTTGATCCGGGTACAGTTGTAAGACTTCTCTACAACGCACACACCTCCCCTTCGAAACTGGCGTCAGTCACATGGTATGGGCGGTGCTTTAAAGAAAAAAACATCCGATGAGTCACGCATTCCCGAACATTTTTGTTGCTGGTTGGATTGCAGACGCTGACTCACCAGATTCTTGCCAGGGGCCTGCTAGCGTAGCTGGCCGGAGCGTTGTAGACCGCTGGAAGCGGGGGCTTTCAACGACAAAAAACAACCGCTTGCTGGGCGTTGACTATTAAAATTGAAATCTAAGTCCCACGTGTCCCGAGTCATATCGGCAAAATCGTCAGTCATCTGTGTGGAGGTAAATGCTCGAGTTTCAGGTGTGTGAATGCATGAGTAAGGGGATTTTTGGCCCCGGCACCGTTTGTCTAATTTACTGAGCTTTCAAACTCGTACAGCAGTCCATCATCAGAGATGACCGCAGCTACGTAACAGGTGAAAGCGGGCCGATCAACGGTCAGTGCCGTAGGTCTGGAGGTTGCTGCGCGGGGCTCTGTATCGATTGATTGAGTTCGCATCGAAAGCCCAGGCTTCAATTAACTGTCGGTCTGTCTCGAATCCGGTATGAGCAATTATCTTGGCGGCTGTAAAGTTAAACTCGTGACCCGTTTCGAAGGTGTTGGCAACCCCTCGTGCCAATTCGTCATCCTGTCGCACAGGCAGTTTACGCTCGAATGTGCGTGATCCAAGCACGCGTGCAGTCCGATAAATTCAGAAGAAGAAGAAGAAGAAGAAGAAGAAGAAGAAGAAGAGGAAGAAGAAGAAGAAGAAGAAGAAGAAGAAGAAGAGGAAGAAGAAGAAGAAGAAGAAGAAGAAGAAGAATAAGAAGAAGAAGAAGAAGAAGAAGAAGAAGAAGAAGAAGAAGAAGAAGAAGAAGAAGAAGAAGAAGAAGAAGAAGAAGAAGAAGAAGAAGAAGAAGCAATCAGTGGAACAAGAAGCTTATCGGCCTGACGTTAAGGATTCTCACTCGAAATCCTCGCAAGGGCTGAAAACCGCGTGAGCTGCGAGCTGCCCGAATCATGGTTCTCATGCCCGCAATCTATCAACAAGTGTAATGACCTCCTGTTACCATATTTACTGATGAGACATTCTCTAAGCAGGGGAATCAGCCATGTGGGGAGGGCGGGGGCGAGCAACAATCTCGGTGACGGCGGCCGAGTAATCATTACGCCAACATCCAACACGGTTGATGAAATCGCGGCTATTAACGCCTCGGACACGGACTGACGAGTTATCATCGCCTCATTTACGACCCTCAGCAATGTCCGCGAGAGCCTCCACTACCTTTATCTGCGGCCGTCTCTGATAATGGGATCGAGTGGGAATTCGAAACTTCAGGCCAATAGACTTCTTGCTCCGCTGATCGCATCTTCTTTTTCTTCTGAACTGCTTCCTAGGACTGGCCAGTTCGCTTCTATAGGCAGCCTGGCAAATGTGATTTCAAGGACAGTTTAGGCACGATATACGATGCACCATAGCAGACGGCCTCTTGGGACCTAATCTGTCCTTAACTTTCCTAACCCTGCTGCGCATGGTAACTCCTGGCCGGTGCGCTATCCCAACACCCAGTCCAACAGCAACACGCCCCGTCGTCCCAGAAACGTCCTTGATGCATAGCAGAGCATGCCATATCCTCAGTGGCATTTCTTTTTGGGTCCTTCAGGGATGAACACGTAGGAATCGGCTTATAAGAGATCTGCGCAGTCGCGCAGTGGACATCAGGCTCGCTGCAGAAGTCAGGACAAAGGCGGAGGGGGGAGATATCCATCACAGCCAAGAAGCCTGGCATAATCCACAACTTTAACAAGTAGCAGCGAACTACTACTACTACTACTACTACTACTACTACTACTACTACTACTGCCACTACTACTACTACTACCACCATTAGTACTATCACTACGACTGCTACTATTAATACTACCACTACTGCTGCTGCTAAACAAAAAGCTCTTCGGTCTATCTGCAAACATGATTCTCGAATGTCCGCTTACCTCCCTTAATATACACTAAACTGTTTTGAAGTAAGGAACTTGGTCGCTTTGAAAACCGGTTTTTTGAGGATTTGGATATGCACTCAAGGAGTTTCCAAACATGACATGAGGGCCACGCCTGAGAATTTTTAAAAAGAAAACATTTGAACGAGATTATAGGTCCAGTCAGCAAGACACAAAATAACGGAGATGTCGAATGGGAACGTAACACACCCTGGCCAACTTAATGTTTCCCAGCACGCATTTCTGACTTCAAGTGAGCGATGAATTCGGGAGATGCACTATTGAAAAAACATGTCTCCGAATATATAGGCATGCGCCGCTGTGCGGCTGCTGGTTGAGCTCGAGAGAGAGTGAGAGCCCTTAAGGCACAACGGAACGACTGAGTTCCGTATGAACGATCGGTGAGCGCCCCCTACCAATGTCCCCGAATCTTAAATAAGAGATCCACGAGCTTCTCAGCGTAGCACACTGCCAACCACAGACGCTTCAAATGCTTCTTTCTGTTGCTTATCACTTTAAGCTATAGTAACCGTGCTGCGGGCGTCTGTTGCGCAATATTGCAGCTCTCGCGCGGCCTTGCACGTGAGTACCAGTGTCAGTATGGTCCCCTACCAATTACGGTTAGCCAAACCGTCCAATTAACTCCAAGGCTGACTCGTACATGGCCTCGCCCAAGGCGCTCTGATGCCTGCCATGTCAGCACTTGGACGCCGGCTCTGGTGGCACCGAACACGTGCCTCGCCCATCTGACATCTGGCTTCAATCTATTATCCATTGATTCTGCACGAAAAGTAATACTCTCTCTCTCTCTCTCTCTCTCTCTCTCTCTCTCTCTCTCTCTCTCTCTCTCTCTCTCTCTCTCTCTCTCTCTCTCTACTGGAGTCTAACTTCTATTCAGGGCCGGACCCGGGGGTCGTAGTGGCAGAGGTTCGCCAATGACTTAAGTTGCCGCGACAAGGCCTCATATGTGGTGGGAAGAGAAAACGAAGATTTTAATCCAGGCCACCCCCTTAAACTTTTGGGAGCTTAAGCTAACACTTTTATAACCACGTTTTCCCGGGATATTATACAAACAAAAATCGACCCAAACATCGATGCGATATACTACTCAAATCCAACAGAGTAGACGGTGTGATCATGTTTGCAGCTTCGTAGGCATTTTAAACTTCAGCATATCAGATTTTCATTCGCAATTCTAAAGCCGGAAGAGTACAATGGCTGACACCATCAAGGCTACTGGAGATAGCATCGGCACAGTAGGTGACAAAGGGAAGCAGTGCGCCTACGCCTACCACAAACTTGCTGACCCCTACTTCCACGCACTTAATTGGGAGCATATTAAGAGGGGGTCATTGTATTCTGCCCCTCTGTTCTGAGTAGAAATGACTTACCTCGACTATTGGCGCTATACGAAAGTGTGGAAATGCACTTGATTATTTATGGTACGCAAACTAGGCCCTGCACGCAGCCTGGGACGATCTGGCTCGCTATTTCATTTCCCACACTTGCGGCGATCTCTGGCACGGCGTATGCGTGGGCGCAAAGTTGGCCGAGGTCTTGGCTGGATAGGGTGATTCTCAAATATCGCGTCCTTTTATATCAAAGGAATTTGCTTCCGTTGTGTTTGAAAAAGCGTCGTTGTCTACTTAGGCAGTCGGTACGGCCTTGACCTTAATTGTCGTTCTCCGCACAGAAGATAGGGCTGACTGCTTCGATGTAATTGGTCGTGACGGTACCCCTGGTTTGTGTAATTTTGGCAGTCCATATAGTCTGAGAATATGCGAACCTACAGGTGTTCTCGCTGATTTGATGAAGTCGCTAAATGAACAACGCGTAGACGAATCGTTTCCAGTAAATCCAAATGGCTACATTGTTAACATGTCGGATTTGAAACTGACTAAACCGCAAGCCGAAGCCCTCTCATTGGGACTTCAGTTTTGTATGCCAAGAAGAAAAATAGATCCGACGGAGACTGAGATTCAATTTGAAGACCTATATCACCAATTATCGAAAGTAACGCCGACGTCAGAGGACAATGCGGGATGGTTGAAAGCGAAATTCGTTGGTATCGCCTATCAATACAGAACTTCCCCGACTAAGCAACGCTCACAAATAACTAAACAACACCTCTCAGCCCTAACTGACCTACGTAAGGCTACTGCAGTCGTCTCTAGACCTGACAAAGGAAGCGTTGTCGTGATCCTAAACAAGACTGACTATGTGAGAAACATGGAGGCGATATAGAGTGACTCCAGCAAATCTTCCTCGGAAACCCATGTGAAAGAAGAAACAAAAGCGCTATAAGACCTTATTGGGAAAAAGGTAAAATCGTTACTTGAAAAGCAAATAACAGTCGAGAACATGGCTGCGTGTCTTAGGCCTGTAGGTTCGCATATTCCCAAACTATATGGACTGCCAAAATTGCTTCGATTTACGCATTTCTCAAGAGCACAAATGCCACAGCAATTGGGCGCGAAAGTGCCTTCACTTTCACCGCTTTTTGGTCCATCGTGACCTCATAGAAATCAAACTGACAAATTTCCGGCAAACAGCAGTGACGGTGTTGGCTACTATTACTCAGGGAATCAGGAAAATGAAGACACTTCCTGTCTTCAATATTTCAAGCGGAAGTAGACATCTAATCGTTTTCCTGTCCCTGTTGGCTCCAAAATCTTAATCCTCTCAAGCTTAAGGTTAGGCAGACCGGAGAATCCCCTCACATCACTTCTTCAAACCCTGTTGACGTCCTCTCAATAATGTAGAGGCAGAAGCCCCCCCCTGTAGTCAGGCCTACTGAAAGGAGATCGAGGAGTCCGTACTGTAATCCGGACGTCTAAACAGCACAAGGTATATTAGCATTCTGCGGAATAGTGTCTAAAGCCTTAATTTTTAGAAATACAGTCTACGCCTTCGCTTGTACTCGTGGTTTACAAACTGCATACCAGACGTTTTCTGGAATGTTAGCCACGGGATTTGCCTGTACTTGGGACGTGGGGTTTACCAGATGGGTCATAAACACTTCATCGAACCGAAGTTCATCAGTGCCTCGCCACCTGTCATTCTCTGTCGCTGCAGATCGGGTATTCATTCACTCAGGAATGGACGCACACCGATCCATTGGCTTCCCAAAGCAAACAAGCTTCGTATGGGTGATAGGGGTCACGAACAGGCAACCATCTACCAGACCGAAGTCGACCAAGCTATGATAGCAGAGGGGCGACGTCAGATTCTGGGGGGTTGATTGATACAGCACTGTTTCGGACTTGTTTGTCTTCATCCAGCCAATCATAGGCTTGATCACCTGTTGGGACCTGACGCAGCTGGTCCACCACTGGGGTATACCAGATGGATGTAATACGTTTTAGCATTACTGACAAAGACAAGGGAGACTGCAATGCCAATTTCCAGGTTACTAGTCATCGCCAGCCAGCCATACCCAACCCCAATCACAACCAACAGGGCAACGAGCCCGTTGGCGACTATGTTGAGGACGACACACACTCCGGTTCGATAAGACACTAGGGAGCAGTTTACCGGTTGTGTAAATTCTGAAGTGGGCGGCCAAGCCCCATGTCAAACACAGACGTATGAAAATGGTAAGAAGACTTTAAGACGTATGAGGTCTGTGTCACAAAAGATAAAAAAATCGAATTATAAGGAGGGGATACAGAAATGCTAGGAGGAATAACGTATACAAACATGCGTCTGGAGTAAGGGATGGTTTCGAAATGTCCGTTACACAAGCGGCGAGGAGAGTGGCGCTGGTGACAACTACAGAATAGGGTCGTGAGGGTTGCCGACGTCAACCGAAAGATAACGTGAAAATCTGCGGCGAATGGTAATTGCGACGGAGGGAACCAGCGATTGCGAGGGGAAGGCACACTGGCATCTTCACACCGTTCCCGTCTTGGGTCCCCGCCAAAAGGTAACTTCAGTCCGTTTAAACGACCCAATCAGATTTGTTGTGCCTTGCACAGTAAATGCGCAAAGCAGTCAGGATCATGAACATGCCTGAAAAAATAAGTCCTGGTTTTTCATTTCTCTCAATAAGCGATCAATGTAGGCTGTCATTCCACCTGGGATGACTGTCGACTTTTCTACTTTTTATTGAAATCGTGTGCGGCGAAGACGTTTTCCGTCCCCATATTTGGTGAGTAAAACACTAATTGGCATTTTTTGTTTGGTTTTTCTGGGACGTTTGGAAATCTTTATTCGGGCCGCGCTCCCGCAAGAAATGCTGAGCTTTGTTGCAACTCACCATTTTTCCGAGCGTCCAAGCAGTTCTATTCATTAAAGCATCGTTTGCGTCCCCACAGAATCGGTGAATGCTGGTTCGTCAGTCGTTCACAACAGCCTTTAAAACGCAACAAACACGATTCACTCTTAAATGTGTTCCTCGCCGTCATCCATCGTCGTAAGACGTCGATGTACATGACGTCGCACATGTACACCCCGATCCTCCTCCCATAGTTGCAGGTGCCGATCATGTCGGCACGGCGCGGTGGCTCTTCCCTGAGGCGACTCGTTTCACAGCATCCATTTTTGGTGAGATGAAAGTTCCGGGAAGGACGCTTCGTACTCGTGTTAGAAAGTGCACATGTAGGACAAGGAGTTAGCAATGGCCCTACGCCACGTTAGACTCTGAAGTAGAAATGACCTGCGAGTCACCGAAACCGCCACCCCCACCGTCACCGCCGCCCCCAACTGTGCCACCTCCTATACGGCAATGTTTCGTCTCGTTCCCACGCCGAACGATCTGTTCTCATTCCGCGTATGCATTTTAGATGATGTTGAACTCCAAACCGCTGAGGAGAAATGGGAGTATGCAGAGGAAGGTGTCATAGTCTACGACGGAGAGTCAGATGAGAAGGTTACAAAGCAAGCCCTACTGACGGAAACTGAGAGTTTGCATTATCCATGACACCTCTCACACTTTTTCTCTGCCTTTGCATTGTGAAGCAAAGGCTCCTCTCTAAGGCGACTCATTTCACAGCATCCATTTCCAGGAGATGCAAGTTCCGTGGAGGCTGCTTCACCCTCGTGTTGGGAAGAGCACAGGCGTGACACGCCTGCAAGCCTCAGCACCTCAGCAATGTTTCTTCACGATGCAACGGTCGAGGAGCCATCGTGTGTTCTGCTGCGTGAAACCAAGGAGGCTCAACTGACACTTCTGCACTCATTCCGCGTATGCATTTTAGATGACATAGAACTCCAAAGTGGGCTTGAATGATGGGAAAATGTGGAGGAGGGGGTCTTTGTGCAGACCACAGGGGCCCATCATGAGAATTCACAAGAAGCCATAGTGCCCAGAGTCAACGGGAAGAATTATCCATGAAATGTAGGACGGTCCAAGAAAGAGTGCGCTTGATGCAATTCGTCCTCTCGCCACTGCAAGATGACGTGACTCACACAGACGCCCATATCACTGTGGATGATAATGTTGCAGATTATGTGATTTACACTGCGCGCTGGAAGGTCAGAGATGGGCAGAGGACGCTGACATCATCTTGTCCACAAAGAGGCGGTTTGCGAGTAGAGATGAATGCAATGCAGTGGTGGCAAATGGTAGGTCAATCTGTTGAATGCAAAACAGCTGTTCACCGTTCAAATGCACGCCCCATGGTTAAATTCCTGACAGTAGCTCCACTGATGCAAGTTCGGGAAAGGACGCTTCGTACTCGTGCGGGAGATGGCGTTGGCAATGGCCATACGTCACGCTAGACATGACCTGAGAGTCACCAAAACCGTCGCCGCCGCCGCCGCCGCCGTCGTCACCACCACCACCACCGTCCACCACCCGCCAACCACCACCCACACCCATTTGGCGTGTCAAGTCGCCTACTTGTACTCACTCCGCGTACGCATTTTAGATGACACCACCATCACCATCAAAAACAACGACGACAACAACAACACCGTCTCCACTTCTGCCTCCCTGATATACAGCAGTGCTTCTACTAGTTCCCACGGCGGATGGTCTGTTCTCAATCCCCGTATGTATTTCAGATGATGTAGAACTTCAATGCGCGGAGGAGTGCTGGGAATATGTAGAGGAATGCGTCGTAGACTCCGACGGACAGTCAGACGAGAAGGTTACAGAGGAAGCCCCGCTGACAGCAGCAGTTGAGGGTAGGCATTATCTATGATACGCCAAACACCTTTTCTCTGCTTTTGCATTGACAAGCATTTGTATCATATGATATGTAGTCAATAAGTGTGTCCGCGGCTCACACACACCATACTACCACGGATGCTCTAGTCACCTGCAAGCCTAGTGGCTTTCTATAACACGACCCATTTCACAGCATTAATTTGTGGAGGTATGTAAGCTGCGGGGAGAACGCTTCGAACTCACGTGGAAATGTGCATCTACGGAGCCAATTGTTGGCCATTGGCTTACACCACGCAAGACTCTGCAGTTGACCCTACCCCTGAGTCAACAAAACCGCCGCCGCCGCTGCCACCAACAGCACTATCACCTCCACATCTTCCTCCATGGAATACGACAGTGGTTCTTCTCATCGTCATGTCTGACGATATATCGTGTGTTCTGCTGCACCCATTTGGCTTACAATGTCACCTACCCGTACTCTCTCACCATACGCATTTTAGATGACTTTGAACTCAGCTGTGTCCAGACACGTTTGGAGTGTTCTGACGAGGGCATCGAGGTTCATGCCGCACAGTCGTACGTGGAGGCGGAACACAAAGCTGAGCTGTCCACGGTCCAGGGTAGGCATTATCTGAAAATCGTCATTTGGCCTTTTTTTACATTTTGCCACTCAGAGGCTACCGTGCCATATTGTTTGCAGTTAATAACAGGGTTAGGGGAAATTTGTCTCACCACAAATGTACGATGCACTCTCTCTCACAGGCAATCTTACAATTGTAGAGGATATGGATTTGCTGTTTGCGTCGGAAGGCCGAGGGAAGGCAGAGGACGCCCCCGTCACCCTGCCGACCAGGACGTCAGCTCAGATTGAGCACAAATGGCGAATGTCCGCGGCAAACGGTAGGTCAATCTATTCTCCACATATTATCATACCTCCTGGTGCAGTCACTGACAGCATTTTACCCAATGCAGACCCAATTCCCTCCATTGAACTCTCCTCAATGAAAGTCCGCGCCAATGACAGTTGTTTGAGTCAACAAAACCGCCGCCGCCGCTGCCACCAACAGTACTTTACTCACCACATCTTCCTCCATCCAATACGACAGTGTTTCTTCTCATTGTCATGTATGACGATACATCGTGTGTTCTGCTGCGAGAAATCAAACTACACCCATTTGGCTTTCAAAGTCGCCTACCCGTACTCACTCACCATACGCATTTTAGATGACTTTGAACTCAGCTGTGTCCAGACACGTTTGGAGTGTTCTGACGAGGGCATCGAGGTTCATGCCGCACAATCGTATGTGGAGGCGGAACACAAAGCCAAACTGACCACGGTTCAGGGTAGGCACTATCTGCAAATCGTCATTTGGCCTTTTTTCTGTCTTATTAATTAGAGGCTTCCGTGTCTTACGGATTGCAGTTAATAGGAGTGGTTGTTGAAATTTGTCTCACCACCACCACCACTACCACCTCCACCAACACCACCACCACATCTACCTCCATCCCATACGGCAATTTTTCTTCTCAGCGCCACGGCTCACGATCCATCGTGTGTTTCGCATTTAAGAAATCAATCTTAAACCGCACATCAGTACTCTCTCCTCGTACGCACTTTAGATGGCATGGAACTTCGGTATGCCGGGGAAGGTTGCGAGTGCGCTGAAGATGACGTGACTGTCCACAACGCACAGTCGTTTGAGCAGGCCGAAGAGGCAGCTACGTTGAGCACTGTCGAGGGTAGGCATTATCTACGAATTGTCATTTGGCCTTTTTTCCGTTTTATTACTTAGAGGCTTCCGTATCATATGGTTTGAAGTTAATGAGAGTGTTAGATGAAATTTGCTTGCTGCCAATGTACGATGACCCCGCTCTCACACATACTCTTACTGTCGTGGATTTTGTAGATGGCATTAAGGGTCCAGGGGTGCTGGAAGGCCGGATGGAGGTAGAGGAGGCCCCCGTCATCCTACCGACCAGGCAGGAGCCAGCCCAGAAGGAGGCATACAAGTGGAGAATGTCGGCAGAAAGTGGTAGGTCAATCTCTTGATGTGTTAGACACAGTTGTTCATTATCCAAATGTCAGGTCTCAAAGTTGCTTTCCTGTCATTAGCCCTACTGACATCATTTTAACAAATTAAAACATGGAGGCGGCTAGCACATGGGAATCCGACGCAGTGGTAGGAATCTGTGTCGGAAGGCAACTGTCCATCAGAGGGACTTGGCGCCCCGCCTGCTTGTTGACATTACCACTAACGATGGCTAGTGGTGATGTGTTCAACAACTTCTATTATATCAATCATGGGTGTTGAAAGACAGATGTGTATTTCCGGCAGAACTGGAACCACTCTTCTAGGCTGAATTCACTCCTGCGTGTACCAGGACAAAACAGACGACAGACCGCTTCTTCAAGATGGTTTTGTCTAAAAGTGGTACTGCAGTCTGGATTAATGCGTCCAGCGTCCTCATTCGATGACGTCCAAGTAAAGGCCATAAGCGCACCTTACGAATGATCCGCAACCATTTTGTCACCTCACTTCTTAGCACGACATGGAGGCTATGTTCCCAGTGGTCTTCAGCGACCCACTTACCTGGTTGCCGGCCTGTGGCGACATGCACCTACCGGCACCGGTGAGTCGCCTGTAACGGGGAGATGTTGAAGTGGAAGATGACGTGTACACAGCCACTTAGGCTTTTGCTTCCATCGACCAAGCCAAACACATTTACCTATCTCATGAAGCATAGCTGCAGAATTGTAATCAATTCCCATCCAGGAGGGCGAAACTAAGCCACTATCTACTCAGCAAACCTGGTTGTGCCTTCTTGCAGCACTGGCAAAAGACAGCATATTAAATCTCTTGTTGTCTGTTGAAGACCCACTGGGAGTCAAAGATGTTGATGTCCGACAAACGCCGCCGCCGCCCTCTCTTCCTTCTGCACTCAGGCCAGACAGTGAACCTGAAAGTGACGAAAGAGCTGGCTAGTCTGTGATTTCTGAGTCATTTTCACATTACATGCATACTGAATGAGTCTCACAAGTCTCAGATATTCTGACCGTTTCTCAGACAAGGCATGCAATGCTCCCTCCTCCTCCTCCCTTAGGACGGCCTCTCAAACGGCGGCGGAGGAGGGTCGTTTGGTGAGACTCAGTATTTGAGAAGAGTGTACTCCAACAGCCTGCGGGTCGTTATATGTGTCACATGCTAATTCGGGCCGAGTTGCGAAGGAGGAGACACGATCGCGGGCTTCATTAACCTGACGTTTCGGATTTTCATCGACAGAGACAGAGTCAGATAAGGACGGTAAATTTTCCAGGTGTTGCGGTATTTATAGGATGTAGTTGCCAGGCCGCTACATACCAATCGCAGTTGACATCCCCCGAGTGCATCGCGGCTCAACTGGCCAGGTGTTGAAGTATGCAGTTGCCGTGAAGTTCTCAGAACAGACGCTAAGCGTTGCCGAAATTCGATAGTCATCTGTGTGTTCTATCACAGATATGCATTGAGGAATAGGCAAGGCTGTTGACTGGGATATCAGCAGTTGCAGGCAGACGATACATTAGCTGTCGCATATGGGGATCTGCGCAGAAAACGATGGATTATTGCGCCTAGCGTCCCCATTCAGTTACTTTCAAGTAGACGCATGAAGTGCACCTTAAGTGCGAACTGCAATCAATTTGCCATTTCACTTTTAAACACAACAATTGCACATTCAAGTTAAACAGAGTTTCAAATGAATGCCGGATGTTTCCTCGGTGACGATGAAATAGAAGCCATCTTCGCGGTGGTCTTCAGTCATCCACTCACATGGCTACCGGCTTGTGGTGACAATCCAATTTTAGTGCCCTCAATGCATCCAACTAACGAACTGCAACCACTTTTCTAGGTTGGAATGGAAGACATCTTTCCGGTGGTGTTAACTTTATTGCCGGTCTGTGTCAACACCCAGTGCATTTAATTTGCGAATTTGGTAAATCGAAATTTGTCAAATCTATTTCGAACAGATAGATTCAGCTGGTGCCTGTTGATTCTGACCGCCTTCTGACAATATCTATTGAGCTCTGTTGCAACTCGGCAGTCGTCTGGGTATCTGTGCAGTCCTGTTCACTAAATAGCGCTCACCACTGCTCTCTAGGATAGCTGCCGTTGTAAGCAGACGATGTGCCAGCCGTCGCACATGGAGACCAGAGCAGACCACGATGGGTTCAAGGTCGACTTGCCGGTCAAACACTTAGCCTTCTGATCGATTTTCTGCTTCGACCATGGGGAGCTGGCCAATTTCTCCAGAACGTCAGCAACACCATAATTCCGTTCCGGTGGGTTTCTTCCCCTTCAGTACTTCAGCGGACGATCAGGAAAACATATAACCTCAGGCCCTGTAGACTATTCTCCTCGAGACTCATAACGTGGCTCGGGCGGCCTTCGTGACAGTAACCAACTTATTTCCTTCCTCCACATTGTTGATGAAATTCCATACCCGAATTCTGATTCTATGTCTGCATCAAGGGGGGCGAACAGCACACAGACCTTCTTCAATCTGCAACTCTGCCCGAAACCGTCGCCACTTCCTGCACAACAGCAAGCTAAAAACGCATGAAGTCGCACTTCTCTGCTGCGCTGAACTCTGGACAGTCTACCAGAGACAAGCCAGAATACTTGGTCTAATGGATTAGGTGCTTGTCGCGAGGATGACCGATTTGCAGTGTGCAGTACACTGGTCTCAAAGTAGGCATTTATCCGCGGATAACGAAATGTGAGATGCGTTCACGTATCGAGCTCTATTGTCTAAGGTTCATTTAAATCTCACAAAGAATTTCCTGCGGTCGAAGGCCATAACCACCGTCCTCCATCCTGTGAGTACTCAGTACTGGCGGAAGATTTGTAACTAGTACTTTTGCGGTCAGTATAGTAAATCATCAAGCGTAGCCTTTGGACGAAGGTTAACGCATGTGGACTCAGTAAATGCATTTGGCAGAACCATACTGACTACGTTGCTCCGTTCTGAGACAAAAGACGCAGAGCACACGCCGTCTGCTCCGTCAACGCCACCAGCAACACATCTAGACGGTCAGTCAGTCTGCGATTTCTCGAACACTTCACCTGACGTGATATAAACGGAAAAATTCTCGCAAGTATCAAACATTCTAGCCGTTTTGCAGATAATCCTCGTAATCTCCTCTCCTTCTTTTTCAGGATGCTCTCATAAAGATCGGCCAAAGATTACGAGGTTCCTCAGATGCTTGTCGCATTGCGGCTATGAAGATTGTCCACACCCACTGGTCCTATTTTGAGTGACGTTGATTCAATGCTTGGACAATTATAGTTCCCTTGGTTTCGACTTGAGAATCTACAGTTCTTTCTTAAGTTTCAACCATCAGTCTTCAAAGACTTGGTTTCTCTGCAGACTGGACCCCTCTCTAAGTTGTCACCATCTTGCAAAATTTACTGTTATAGTGTCAGGAAATAGACAAGAGGCCGTGTCACATTAACCGAATACAAGCCGTCTCACTGGGAGTTATTACGATGACTAATTGTAGTCATTATTAAAGCAGCAAAACAAGTCCTGACATAATGAACTCACACTTCCAATCTTCTCTAGCCCACTTGACAACGCTTGGAACCTGTGATGGAATGGCCGTGTCATTGGCGTCGGCGTCGGATTAAGAGGTTCCTCTGACGTCTGGCTTTCCGCGGCCATAAGACTGCCAACCCAGATTGGACACATACTTCAGAAAATCCTTCTTAGGAAGAAGCCGGAAGGCGTTCTGCAATTGATTTGCTTCAAGCAATTCATGATTTTCTAGGCTCATGGTGGCACAATCTTCGGTGAGCGCTCATCGTTCTGGAATTTTCTATTTTTCCGGCGACCGCAGTATACAGCAGGGGTCCAGAATCTCCAGAGACCATACGCCCCGATGACTAGCGCATTAATCGACAAACTGACAGGTGGGAAGGATGACGGCCAATTCAAACTAGATGACAGCCTACAGCGATCGCCTATTGGCGGGAATGACAGAGCACTATCGATTTTTCGAACATGCTTAAATTTTGAACTGCTTTGCGCATTCACTAAACGTCTGACGACGGCCTGGGAAAGCAGCGTGTAGAATCAGCGAAATAAAGTTTGTAGCCCTTCCCAAGAACTTATTTAACTTCAGCTGAAATTTCGTGGGATGCATGAATGACGATCGCAAAGTTTTGTCACAAGCTAGACGGGCATAAAAAGTGTGTAGTTAGCGAAATTCTAGCATGAGAACGGTTGCCACTTTTTCACAGATGCTGAGACGGGAAGATTTTGCCAAAAGAGGTGCAGACAAAACCTGTTAATCTACCCGGTGGTATTAAATTGCATCTTATTACTGTCAGAACATGCTTGACACGTCCATAACTGAAGACCATTGTCGATTTCAAAAATTCCGAGTTTCTGCGGGGAAAAGTGATCTCTCGTTCCTCCTCATCCTCCACGTCATTACAATCACCAGCACTAACATCGACAAGGCGTCGTCCATACAGTCCCAGTTTTCTATGTTACTGAATACCCGGCAGATTTGTAGAGCATAGTCTATGGTTCACAAAATACGGTGCCATAGTGACGGGGTTTGGACACAACATATTGGCATTCCAGCTGACCTTTTTGACGAAATGCTGATAAGATGAGCGCTTTGGACGCCAAAAAACTGTGCTGTCCACCGTGGCGGCACGTAGTGAACGCTGGCAGGCAGTTGGTAGTCCCACTAGGCCGATTGGGTCAGGGCAAGACATCAAACATGGGCTGGCAGCCAGCCGTTTTCGCGTCCGGTTACCAATTCTGCTCGACGCACCAAAATTCCACAGCAGGACGACCTCTCCACCCAATCCGGACAACCTTTCACCATTGTTCTGTACAGTGGTGATCAGACAGCTTGGCTACATTGAGGTCGACAGATTTCACGGCCTGGCAGAGGCCTAAAACGCGGCCACATATGGTAAACCGGAGAACCCTAAACACTAACTCTAAATCCCAACCCTAAATCCTAGCTGTATACCCTAACATTAAACCTTAACTCTAAATCCTAACCCTAAACCTTAAAACCCTGACCTCAACTCCAAAATACTAACCCTAACCGTAATTCTAATCCCTAACCTTAGACCTAACTCTAACACAAGACAGAAACCCACCTACTGGAGTCGATATTAATAGGATATTCGTAGGGAATTGACTAGATGGGGCCACATTTTAGGCCTGTGCCCACGGTCTCTCTACCCCTTGCATATTCATACTTACGTTGCGAGCGACGACACCAACCATGTCTCACACGGAGTGGCTACAGTACCGTTGACGACTTGCGCAGAGGTTGTCGCACTTTCTCCTCCCTCACCCACTTGGCTCTGACTGCAAAACAATGTCTGAACAACCGGCGGTGGGTGCAGGTGCAGTGGCTGACAAAGCCAAACAGTTAGTCTACGCGTGCCACACACAAGACCTGACCCCCGCCGCAGGTAGTCAAAACAGAACCCCTCCCACCCATCCACGGTCTGGTTCCCACGGCGTGCTTATGATAAGGACTGCGGAGGGGGGTGACTGCTCAAATAACCGTCTCGAATTGTGCGCGCATGCACAGTGTTTAACCACCTCCAGCGGTCTCCAACTACGCCAGGAAGAGTCAACCAGGGGAAGCGGCAATGTACATTTATTTTTCGCAAGCAAAATACTCGGGACCGAGGGCCCCTAGCTCTGACTTCTGAGGCTGCCTTCCTGAGCGATGGCGGTTCCGAGAGCAGAGTGCATTTCTTCGCCCAGAGTTCGCCCAATCTACAAGGAAGGAGAAAAGTACGCGTGATGGGTAAAAGGACTGCGAGGGGCAGGGTGTGTGAGCCAGTAGTGGTTCTGCGCCAAAATAACACAACGTGACAGTAAGAAAAAGCAAGGAAAGTAGTAATAGACGATGCCGAGAAGGAATTTTGGGGGTCAGATGTGGTTATGTAGCCAATCTGAAGTAAACAAA